ATTTTCCCGTTAGTGAACGTGCCCTGTATGTGACTCTTGGCTTCTGGAAAATTAAGAGAAGGGGATTTCCATGCCTGGGGGATAGATAGCATGGTAGCTATAAATAAATTTGATATGAGCGTTCAGCTGTGACTAGGAATATTATCAATAGGTTTATGAAGGAGAACCTTCCAAGGGTTCTTTGAAGGTTGATCAGCAAGATTGAGGTAATCATGGTATAGGTCCTTAACCACAAGTAGGGAACCTTAGGGCAGGTTCTCCAAATATGCACCATATCTCCTGCATCTTGGCACCGTTTAAAGCAAAAACGGGAGTTCCATGTTTCGATAGGTCTGTTATTTTTTTAAGTTCCTTTAACATACCAAGCTCTCCAACCGATGTGACAATTACAGCAGGAGGAACAATCCATATAACACGGTCAGCTTTTGTTCATATTGTTCAAACAGAAAAAAAAACTGCCGAAAGGCTAGGTTCGCCTTTTCCAGAAAATAGTCTTTGCAATCAAGGGGCCCCGGTAGGTATTAAAAAACTTCAGCTTTGTCAAATCTTCAGTAATTTTATCATATCTGTAGGGCATTTTAGCCTCACTGGAAACACTGAAAAACTGGCAATTCCCACATCCGGCCTTGTTGCTAGGACTTAAAAATTGTTGGGAGCTCACTTCCATTATTACAGGAGCAAAAACCAATAAGGATTACTAACTGGGAGGTTTTTGGCTAGGCTTCCAGGGAGGGCAGAATGGACTACAGATATTACAAAAAAATTAATTTTAAAAATGTAGAAATCTGTACAGTTTTTAATACCTATGGGAGCTCTTTGACTGCTTAAGAATATTTTCTGGTTAACTGTGAATGTAGCCTTTAAAAAAAGTTAGATGGCGTCAGCCTCCTACTTTATTAATTTTTTTATTATTATTTATTTAGTGGTATACAACATATACAATGAAATGGTAACTTCACCTAACAAATAATCCATACAAGATATAATTTGCACAATCAATATGTGGATACATCCTGGCGGAAATAAGATCATTCGGAGCAGTTATTAGAAGATGAGATTATAAATGGACATGGAGCCCAAGCTGCCATGCAATGAGTGTATAGAGGTTTAGGGGGGCTCTCTAGGGGTTGTGTAAACGCCCACCCTGCAATGGAAGAGAGTCTTTCCAACTTCCGAAAGAAGTTCCTAATAAATGGGGGAAGTCTAATGTGAGGCGTCCAACTATGGTATGAGCATAGTCTCCTAGTTTATTTAAAACTACATGCTATCTATAGCTACCCTCTCCAAAGGGTGGCACTGTTGCTGTTCGATTTCAATGCAGAACAAACATGCATATTACAGAAGTGGAAAATAAAATCTATTGGCAGAAATAGGTAATAAAACTATGGTGTCCATTTATGAAGGGCATTATTGTGGTGATCGCGGCTTGTCCCATATGTGTACCATTTTAAGTAGCTGAGATGAGGAGTAGAGACCATTTTCTCCACTTGTCGTCATAGTACACAGAGCTTCTGTCTTTCACCTTTATACAAACGGCTGAGATCTGAATAGAGGAGGGAGGCAGCACTGTCCCTTGGAAGAAGGGACACACACGGCATGGGGACCTGGTATGTTCCGAGAGATGCTGTGGGTTTCATGACCGTGTATGCACAGCCCGACTCTTGTTCCTGGGGCTGTCCAGAGTTGTAAAGTTGAGTGTTCTTCTGTCTCTTTCCATGGGGGATGGTGGCTGGTACAGTCAGGTCCATAAATATTGGGACATCAACACAATTCTAACTTTTTTGGCTCTATACACCACCACAGTGGATTTGAAATGAAACGAATAAGATGTGCTTTAACTGCAGACTGTCAGCTTTAATTTGAGGGTATTTACATCCAAATCAGGTGAACGGTGTAGGAATTACAACAGTTTGCATATGTGCCTCCCACTTGTTAAGGGCTCAAAAGTAATGGGACAGAATAATAATCATAAATCAAACTTTCACTTTTTAATACTTGGTTGCAAATCCTTTGCAGTCAATTACAGCCTGAAGTCTGGAACGCATAGACATCACCAGACGCTGGGTTTCATCCCTGGTGATGCTCTGCCAGGCCTCTACTGCAACTGTCTTTAGTTCCTGCTTGTTCTTGGGGCATTTTCCCTTCAGTTTTGTCTTCAGCAAGTGAAATGCATGCTCAATCGAATTCAGGTCAGTTGATTGACTTGGCCATTGCATAACATTCCACTTCTTTCCCTTGAAAAACTCTTTGGTTGCTTTTGCAGTATGCTTTGGGTCATTGTCCATCTGCACTGTGAAGCGGCGTCCAATGAGTTCTGAAGCATTTGGCTGAATATGAGCAGATAATATTGCCCGAAACACTTCAGAATTCATCCTGCTGCTTTTGTCAGCAGTCACATCATCAATAAATACAAGAGAACCAGTTCCATTGGCAGCCATACATGCCCACGCCATGACACTACCACCAGCATGCTCACTGATGAGGTGGTATGCTTAGGATCATGAGCAGTTCCTTTCCTTCTCCATACTCTTCTCTTCCCATCACTTTGGTACAAGTTGATCTTGGTCTCATCTGTCCATAGGATGTTGTTCCAGAACTGTGAAGGCTTTTTTAGATGTTGTTCGGCAAACTCTAATCTGGCCTTCCTGTTTTTGAGGCTCACCAATGGTTTACATCTTGTGGTGAACCCTCTGTATTCACTCTGGTGAAGTCTTCTCTTGATTGTTGACTTTGACACACATACACCTACCTCCTGGAGAGTGTTCTTGATCTGGCCAACTGTTGTAAAGGGTGTTTTCTTCACCAGGGAAAGAATTCTTCGGTCATCCACCACAGTTGTTTTCCGTGGTCTTCCGGTTCTTTTGGTGTTGCTGAGCTCACCGGTGCGTTCCTTCTTTTTAAGAATGTTCCACACAGTTGTTTTGGCCACGCCTAATGTTTTTGCTATCTCTCTGATGGATTTGTTTTATTTTTTCAGCCTAATGATGGCTTGCTTCACTGATAGTGACAGCTCTTTGGATCTCATCTTGAGAGTTGACAGCAACAGATTCCAAATGCAAATAGCACACTTGAAATGAACTCTGGACCTTTTATCTGCTCATTGTAATTGGGATAATGAGGGAATAACACACACCTGGCCATAGAACAGCTGAGAAGCCAATTGTCCCATTACTTTAGGTCCCTAAACAAGTGGGAGGCACATATGCAAACTGTTGTAATTCCTACACCGTTCACCTGATTTGGATGTAAATACCCTCAAATTAAAGCTGACAGTCTGCAGTTAAAGCACATCTTGTTTGTTTTATTTCAAATCCATTGTGGTGGTGTATAGAGCCAAAAATGTTAGAATTGTGTCAATGTCCCAATATTTATGGACCTGACTGTATGGGGGGGGCAGTGGTAGTGGAAGGCTCGGGTGGAGGGCAGGGGTGCTCTTGTTCAATGTCAGGCTCTTTCTGTGGGGGGCGCCAATTTTTGTGTTGCCTAGGGCAGCACAAATCCTAAATACACCACTGCCCTGGATCAGAGTGAAGCCCTACTTTTGTAAAGCGACATCCCACATATTCACAGCTGTCTGCAGTGTTGTCTAATCTCTGATGATACTCCACATGCTTGTGAAAGTTTGTGCTGAGTTCTGTGTTTGCGATGTTCTCGTATATGTCACGTCACTGGAATGACGACCTGACAGATCTGAGCTATGGAGCAATCTGATTGGCTCACACCCAGAAACTTGTTTAAAGCACAGCCAGACAAGTGGCTCACCTCACAATGGAAAAATGCAGCACATGCCAAATCTCTTCACCGGAGAAATGAATGTTCAGAGGCTCGCTCTTCCGATAATGAGCTTAACCCCTCCATGTGAGATTGCTTCTCCATCTCTCTCTACTGTGTTGGCCGGCAAAAGGGCATACCCCTGGGATTATAAGGTCTCTATACCCGAGGGAAAGTGATTGAGTGTTCATATGAGCAAATACATTTTTATTACATTGGCTCCAGGTCTGTTAGCAGGTGGATGTAACATGGTTTATGGATTGTTAAACTGTTGAATCGATTTCAGGTTAATACATGTGGACTAAACTTGTGTAGTGCAATATTTTGTTTAAGTGTATTTTACTGTGTTATTGTGTTGCCCTGCTGAGGTGGTACTTTTTGAGAGGTAAAGATAAACTCTACTGGGCAAATGTACCAAGGCTTTTTGGGGAAGTATCACCCTCTGCTGGGGCAACACATAAAATGGGAGGGAACCACCTCTCAGGGGCGCCATTGTTATAAAGTTGGCCAGAGGTTCGGTTCCAGGTTACCCCATTCAAGGAATAAGTATGCTGCTAAGGATGAGACCCACTACCCCTTGTGGGAACCCATTCTGACTTCCGGGGGTAAGGACTCTAAAGGACTTGCTCACCTATTTAAGGTATGACTACCTAAAGGGGCAGGGGCAGGGGCAGGGGCACCAGGAGAAACTGAGGGGGCGCTAGAAGAACTTGTATAGGAATATGTTTTGGAAACATCTGTGTTCACCTGTTTGTTGTACCTAAATAACTTCAGTAAAGAACTTTGTTTTATATATCTTTGTCTGGTCTGAAATCACTTCAGGACAATCCTAAAGGGTGCATGCATGGTGAATCTCAAAACAGGGTTTAGTTGGGGACAAACGGAGATAGAAAAGATGCACTACATCTTACTATGACTTATATCTCATGTGCAGTTAGGCTATTCAGAGGGGGCTTTACTGCCATTGCCAATGACTACAGTACTAGTGTCAGGTGCATAAGCAGCAAGCTGGCCAGGAAGAGCTGTGAGTTAGTTGGCATAGGTGCCAGAAGGCCCTGGTAGTGAAGGAACCGGTGTGCTTAGGTTCTTCCCTAGTGACCAGAATCACCAATACTGGGTCCAGGGGCAGACTGACAAATCATGGGGCCCCCGGGCAAGAGGGGATCATGGGGCCCCTGTGTCCTTGCCCACCCACACTCAAAGCACACCCAAAAAAGCCTATAAAAAAGGTACCAAGGGCATTTCATGGGGTCCCCTACTGACCCCGGGCCCTCGGGCAGTGCCTGAGTGACTGAATGGTCAGTCCACCCCTGACTGGGCCCGATTCACAGCACAGGGCATCCTAGGAACCCAGCCTGGAAGTCATGGAAGATTAAATTAGGCTTCAGGAGAAATTAAGCACAGGTTATGTACAAAGTTGAGTTTTCTAGTATCCAAGTGTAATATACGGATCAATGTCACTGGGACTGAGGTGATGGATTACTGAGCTAGTGGGCTCCAATACAAGCTCAGCGGTACCTACTCAGAAATGCTGTACAACACAGAAGAGTTATGGAGTGCATTGTATTGTATATGTCCATAATGTACAGAGTGTAAAGAACTATGCCACAGGTTACAAGGATTTAATCATGTCTTTATGGAGAAGCGTCATTTTTAGGTAGGAGTGCTGCCTTAACTCCAGCCTGTGTTACATGGCAGCCTCAGCCGACCTCTGGGGGCACTAGTGAGTATTCTCTCCGGGTCCCCATTTGGGAGCGGAAAGCTCCGCCCACATGTCAACAATGTACGAAGCAAGGAATGTAACATGCTTTTTTTCTTTAGGTTTTACCAATACACTTGCTGCAAGCCTTCAGTTCTAACATGGAAATTCTGTTGTTACTATCTCCATGATATTCTCTGTGTTTGCCATGAGCAAAGCTGCACTCCCAGCACCACCTTGTACAAGAGTTTCACCAACCGTGAAAACTCTCAGTGGGGAAAGCCTAAGGCCATTGCAAGGAGTGCCTGTGATACGACCTCAAGCTCTGTGCACGCAACAGTGAGAAATAGTAAACCAAAGCCTGAGCTGACAGGGAGGAGGACTATTAGTAAACAAAACAGTCCTCCTCCACGTTGGAGATTTTCGGAAATCACCAAGCGCTGGCGAGTAATTACCAACTGGGACCCGGTGATTGACAGCTGCGGCCGCAAATGGCGGCACGGCTCGTGAGCGCCCCCAACCCAGAAATGCAAAATCAGGTATATATATACGTGATTTTGCGCACCGTGCAGCCCTGTAGCCGTATTTGTGCTATAGGGCGGATGGGAAGCAGTTAACAACTATCTTGCAAACAATCCGAATGAGCCTGTCTAAAAGTATGCATTAAAAACAGGGGTTTAGTTAGCACACATTTGCAAATACATGTGTAAGCTACAGAGCCTGGTCACAGCACCCCGATATTCTGCAATTCCTAACTCTACAAATTTTTAAAGCCCCGATAGTAGAGGCACATGTATTTAATGGATAGACTGAGGGCAGGGGAGCCTGAGGGAGCCACCCCTCCTTAAAGGCACAGGAGCGCACTGAACACCCAGCATATAGCACAATGGCAGCCAAGGTGTCCAGTGCACCCCCCTCACCAACAAGTCAACAGTACAAAAAATGTCCACTGCCCCAAACTATAACTGGCCTTTACAGCATGGAGCACATGGAAAGGTGACACATGATTTTTTTACACTCACTCAGAATTATGTCCAGAAGATTTTATATTACTAATGTTTAAAGTGAACCTGTCTGTTTCTTTACAATTAATTCCTAAATTATCACAATATACAGCAACTGTACTATTTTCAGATAACCTTCGCCTTTCATCATGAAAAGCTTTCCTTGAGCTCCAGGCAGTGACTTTTCCTAGTCTGAGATGATGTCATCAGTCTGCTACAGGCAGGAGGAAGCATTTCCTCAGTCTCCTCTCCCCCAATGATCAAACTGCAATGAGGTGAGAGAGGCTGCAGCATGGGCTAATCTGTGTCAGACAATTGTGAATTCAGCCAAGAACTTCACAGACACTGAGATTTGCATGATTGTGTCATCATCCCACTCCAGGAAGTAGACAGTTACTCTGGATGATGCCTGAACAAACATGTCGCCAGACTTCTGGAGAGAAAAGCAAATAAAGGCATTGCCAAGGGGAGTACTGATATCTCTGTGAGATAAATATCCAGAAGTGTTTCACTGATGGCTCCTTCACACTATCTTGCTGTTGTGTTATCACATGGAAACATTTTACATGTGTTGGTGTGACCCCAAGGCATTCATTCTTAATGGCACCCCAACACACCTTGCTGACAGACGTGTTGCAGCGCAGTGCAATGCCCTAATGTGTGATGTACTGTTCAATTCAAATAACTGGCCTGCTCTAACCCCCTGGTTCACATCCATGCAGCCGTGCGGGCTGCATTTTGCATGGGCACAAGAGTCCATTCCCATGACAAGCAGGGAAAGAAGTCCCTGCACTTCGGAAAACACAGCCCACACGGGAACCTCGGTTCCCAGTACAGTTGCATTTTCCAGTGTGTGGGCGGCGTGCCATTAGAACTAATGGCACCCGCCCGCGGGTCTGCATTTCTCTGTGCGGGTGGATTTTCATGTGGATCCACAGCGGCACCACCCGAACAGATGTGAACCTAGGGTACCACTCTGCACATAATGGGCAACACAATGGGGGCTATTTACTAAAACTGGAGAGTGCAAAACCTGGTGCAGCTGTGCATAGAAACCGATCAGCTCCCAGGTTTTATTGCCAATGCTTAATTGACCAAGCTGAAGTTAGAAGCTGATTGGCTACCTTGCACAGCTGCACCAGATTTTGCACTCTCCAGGTTTAGTAAATCAACCCCAATGTGTATTAGCATGCATGTGTATAACACAATGCAGTAGTCCAGGCTGGTGTGAATGGACCCTCATTACTTTGCATGCTGCACTGCTATGTGAAGACAGGTCCACTTACACCCCGGTCACATCGGGTGCGACTTTGCCATATGACTTGCAAATCGTATGCCAAGTCGCACCCCATTGTCCACAATTAGAGCGACTTGGTCAGAGCCGCACTGATTTCTAAAATAGTACATGCACTACTTTTGGTTCAATTTGCATAGACATCTGTGTCAGATGTCTTGCAAAAATCGCACCTGAACTCAGTATCTCACCCGACTTTGAAATCGTGCGACTTCACTGTAAGTCACACGATTTCAAAGTCAGGCTTGATGTGACCGGGGGGGGTAAAATGACTTTTCCATTCTGCGTTCAGGAACTGTCAGAGTTCAGTCTGGGGATGCAGAGAACGCAGAGAGTGGTGCTGGAATACTGTATGTCACTGCAGTACACACATTGTGTGATATATAATGCAGACTGCACACGCTGCTGATATTATGTCTGACATGGTAACTAATCCAGCATTTTCATTTCTCCAGAAGCTGTTTTCTGCTCTTCTCTTTATTATTACTGTCATTTGCACAGTGAACACAAACCTGGCATCCTTGGGATCTGGAATGCCAAAAATTTTCCAGCGCACCGGAGATGATTTGTTCAGGGAAGATTTTTGTTGCTTAGAAACACTCTGCTTGTTTCTGACAGCAAAATTTTACTATGATTAAAATACAGAAATGTCACTGAATTGCCAGTACAACACAAAACAGGAGGATTCCCTAAAAGGAAGCAGAAGCGTATACTCTGAATAGAATAAGAATAATAGTTATGAGACTGCTTTCAGAGTTCAGCTGACAACTGCATGGCTTAAACCTGTAATTTATCAACCATTCAGCAAGAATGCCGACTGCACTGCTTGCTATACAGATGGCCAACAGAGGAAATGCCTACAAATAAGCTGAATATCAAACACTGCAATCATCATGGAATACCGAGCATGTAAGGCCTTGTTCACACTGGCTTCCACACTTTTCCCTTCCACATAACTTTCTATTAATGTGCTTTGATACAGCACTTTGGGAACATCCAACTTCTTTTGCAATTATCTTTTGAGGCTTTCCCTCCTTATGGAGGGTGTCAATGATGGATTTCTGCACAACTGTCAGGTCAGCAGTCTTTCCCATGATTGCGATTCCTACTGAACCAGACTGAGAGACCATTTAAAGGCTCAGGAACCCTTTGCAGGTGTTATGGCTTATTTAGCTGATTAGAGTGGGACACTTTGAGCCGAGAATATTGCACCTTTTCACAATATTCTAATTTTCTGAGATTGTGGATTTGGGGTTTTCATGAGCTGTAAGCCATAATCATCACAATTATGACAAATCACGGCTTGAACTATCTTGCTTTGCATGTAATGAGTCTATCTCATATATTAGTTTCACCTTTTAAGTTGCATTACTGAAATAAATGAACTTTTGCACGATATTCTAATTTTTTTCGAGTTTCACCTGTAGTACAATTATGTACTTGGGTTTAGTTTTCCTTTAAAGAGGGTCTGCAAACTGCTAGTGACGTCTATTATGTTATAAGAGACCACTTTCAAGTTACAGGATTACACCATGCTATAAGAGACTGCAACCAAACTACAAGAGGCTGCTGAAGACTGCTGTTGTATAACAACAGACTGCTAGAAATGCCTTCCTGGATACTGGAAAGTGCTTGACACTCTCATAATATTACAAGAGGCTGATAGAGACTTCTTCCAAATGAATGGAGACTACTTAAACCTTTTTCCAAGTTACTGTAGACTGCTAGAGACAGCTGTGTAATGCAAGAGACTGCTATTTAGTTCTTACAGGTTACAGGAAACTGCTTGCCATACTGAAAGAGGCTGCTAGAGACATCTTCAAAGTTAGCAGAGACTGCTAGAGAGAGACTGGTTCCATATTATAGTGTACCTCTAGAACAATGTTTCTCAACCTTTTTTCAGTCAAGACACCCTTTAAAAGTATGGAGAATCTCAAGGCACCCCAGTCTAAAATGTAAGAAACTATTCTTCACATATCCAGTACACCCATCGTTAGAGGTGATTTATTCTTCCAAAGCAAATACACCTTTGCACACTGGTACTGACTAGTATTCCAGTGTGTCTCTCATTTTCTCTCCCACACTCTGCTAATGTGACCCAGTGCTGCCGGAGAGGACAGGGGAGGACCTAACAAGGATGATGTGCATGCACCCAACGACGTCCTTATCAAGTGATGATGTCATTGGTTGTTAGGATGCTGGCAGCTAGAAGGTCATAAAAGTGCACAATGAAAACCTATAACTTTGTTTACTAAAAGCCAGGATTAATCCATCTGCAGGCTTGTATATCATTTTGGGCATTTTGCCAAGGCACCCCTGAA